AACATCTGGTTGAGACTCAGCTGGCAAGGTCCCTGGGGTGGGTCATTGTGGAAGCTGAGCACCAGAGAGGAACTGGTAACAGGTGGCACCAGGACATCCAAAGTAAAGTAGAATCCTTTTGAAGCCCACTACAATTTTAGTGGAAGAGGAGCCTGATCACCTCCTGGGCGTTAAATCGCCAGCAGATATCTTGACAGGTGTGTGAGACCAGATCTGCTAGATCACCAGTTGATCTGTAAAAGGTATGTGAAAGTGTGTGGATGTGATGTGACTAAGAGAACTCCGAGGGTGGAGTTGGATCTCCCCTCACAGGGCCTAAGAGAGTGTTGGTTTGCCTCTTATAGCTAAGTGGCAGCTTGAGTGGGAAATTGAGGCTGCCCAGGTTAAGAAATGTGTTGAAATTGTGTGCGTGTGAGTGCTTGGAGAATGACTGAGTTGGGTAACAACAAGTGGGGGTAAAACGAATGTGTGAGTGTGCCCTTCTTCCCTGTTCCAACTTTGCCCCCTGGCTATTCTGAGGGAAACTGGAAGTTCCAGGTTTTCCACTTTCTATCTTTGGGCAGCCACGTGGCCATGTCGTTTTGGAAGTTTTGGTCTCGGGAATTTAAAAATTGAGACTGTGGGCCACAGATCAGGCTATTCTGAGGGAAACTGGAAGTTTCAGGTTTTCCACTTTCTATCTTTGGGCAGCTATATGGCCATGTTGTCTTGGAAGTTTTTGGTCTCAGGAATTTAAAAATTGAGACTGCGGGCCACAGATCAGTGACGAAATGGCATTTTGTTAAACTGAGGGACATGCAGATGGAGTGGAAAGTGCCAGAACTATAGGCAGAGGAGCCATGCCTTGAAAAGTGTTGTAGTCCGGGCAGTCTGGTGAGTGCTGGGTGGTCCTTGAAAATCTGGAGGAGAGAGTGTAAATCTCGTAGGGAACAGTGCTATATCCATATCAGCAACAGGTCTCCTGGGTAGATAGCCTCTGAAAGGGGGGAGGAGGCCCAGGTCAGAGATTTCTTGCATAAGTCCCTTGTCTAGGGGGAAATAGTTGGCCCTGAGAGATATTTTGGCCAGGACTTGGTAGATAAAAAATACCTTTACAAACTGAATGGATGTCCTAGCAAATGGATGAATGCAGCCCCTCACCTTGGACAGGGTTATTAGGTCTTTGCAGCAATTTTTGTCTGGGGAAAGGATTAGGATGTGTGCTCCTTAGCCTGGGTGGAGCCAGCCAAAGCCCCTCACCTTGGGCAAGGTTATTAGGTCTTTGGAGCAGTTTTTGTCTGGAGAAAGGATTAGGGTGTATGCTCCTTAGTCTGGGTGGAGCCAGCCAAAAGATTTCAGGCTGCTTATTCGTGACCTTGCTGGGGCTCAGAGTTTGTACCTGAAGATGAGAGTCTGATATCTGAGCTCCCCTCAGCCTGAAAAATAGGGGTTACCTGTCCAGCTCTAAATAGAAAAATCCTGTATCAATGTTATAGCTCATAGAATGTCTCTCATTTGTAAAATGTAATCATTTGGTTGTTTAAATTGTTAGAGAAACTGAGTCTTTGTCAAAGGATGAAATTCTTGCTTTTTAAACCTTCTAATTATCAGTTTGGCTGAGTGAATGGGTGACTTCATAGTGAACTGAGATTCTGTTATGGAGAATTTTATATATGTGATCCAGTTGACTATGCATTTCCCTTAAAATCTTATTTTAACCAATGTTTTAGGCCTTTTGATATTTGACAAACATTCCAAAATCAAAAGTCTAAATTTGGGCTTGGCACCCATAGTGTAGTGGTTGCAGTGCCGGCCACATGCACCGAGGTTGGCAGGTTTAAACTTGGTCCAGAAAACAAAAAGCACAACTCTAGCACTGAAAGGCATAGAAAAACAAATTAAACTCATTTGATTTATTAAAAATGTATAGGAAACATTGTCAAATATGAAATGGTGATTAACTTTGTATAAGTTATGGTTATATGTGTGTGTTCCAATATTGGTAAAGCATTAGTCTGTTCTAACATATATTGTCAGTAATAATTTTGATTCATCTAAAAAAGAAAAATATTAAGAGAGGCTAACGAGTTCTCTTAAATTCAAATTCCTGATGTCTTTGGAAATTGAGTACCTTTGGGCTAAAAGCAGATTTTTAGAACTTTTATTAAAAAGTTAACATGTCTATGAATGTTGCTAACCTAACTTCAAACAGAACAAAAATCAGTTATGTGAAACTAGGCTAGTTGATTATGACTTTTTGTTTAAAATGTTACTGGTTCTTTCTATGTTCTGTTTTCCAGAAGTCAAGAAAATAATTCTCTTGAGTCTTTTGAGCTATTTGTAGCTTTTCAAGCAATGTATGTACTTATGAGCAAAGTTTAAAACATGTATTTTTCTCTCTCCTTGACTTCTCCAGAATTTAAAAGTCATTAGTAAGTATTATTAGTTTCTGACAATATAGTTATTTGCATAAGTTCAATAAGAATCTGTTTTGTTCTATAGGACATGATGGAGGCACTGGTATTTTACCAAGGCTTTGGCTGGAATAGCATTTCCAGAGGTATCCAGACTGCGTTAAGGAATTAAGGTTGACTTTATAAGGCCAATAATGAAAGCCCTTTGAAAAACTGGCCAGATACCCATCAGTAACCTTTCCTGATCTGTGGTAAGTAACGAACGTTGCTTGCTGTCGGGTCTGAGAAATTGAAAGGTGCTTGGGGAACCTCAAAAGAAGAGGAATGTACCCAATGCATACAGGTATCTTATGGCACAGATAAAACCTGGACTCATGAAAGGCTCTTGAGAAAGTCCGGCCTAAAAATTCCTTATAAAAGGTTCCAGCAAAGCCAGAGAGTCTAGATGACTAATAATTCTTACTGCGCTTTATGCAAATAATCAGTATACTGAAAGTACAATTTATTGTGGCAACTGAGTTAGTTCTACTGTAATTTATCTTTAGTAAAGAGAGAAATTGGAAAGAGAGAAAAATAATTCAATTTAAAAAAAAAGAGAGGCTGTGGCTCACCTGTATTAGATCCCAGCCTTGTCTGTATTGTCAATTCATAAAATGAGTCATAACTGTTTTAGTAAATTGAACTGTTAAATAGGACTAAGAGACTAGCCAAAGAGTGTGGTGTGAATGTGTCTCGGAAAGATACCTGGCTACAGCTATCATAGGCCAGCCCCCTTACCACGGAGCTTGCCAGGATCCCCCTCAGGATTTGGAAGAAGTAGAATTAAGGAAGCAGTTACAGGCACTGAAAAAGGTGACAGGCAATGTCGAAATGAATAAATGAAAAGTGTCCTTTTAGTTTGTTTTCCCTTGTCCACCTTTTCTCTCCAGGAGCTGTGGTGTGGGTCAAAAATTGGAGCGTGTCTCCCCTGAGGGCAAGGTGGAAAAGCCCTTACAACGTTATCCTGACCACATCTACAGCTGTGAGAGTAGCAGAAATTCCTGCCTAGATCCATTATAGCAGAGTGAAGCCTGCCATGGAACCAGAAAACCTGCCGCCGCCTAAGAAAAACCAGATTGAGCAGTACGTGAACAATGGCAGCTGATCCTGAGTTCCCACTGCGTGGGCTCTGCACCTCAAGGACTCCTGAACCTTGGGAAGCTATCTCAGATCCTGACAACCCCCTCAGGCTGATGTTGCAGAGAACGGCAAGCCCTGCTCCAGTAACACCCCAGGAGCTGACTGGTCCACGCACGGCCAAAACATGAAGATCTATGTCATCGTAGGACACTTCTTTATTGGACTCAGGAGAGCTAAGTGAACTTTAATTTGTGTAAATATTCAGGATGCTGATATAAAAAATTGTACAAAACAGATTAGCTTTAAATTATATGTCCCCCTGGTTAACTTCACTACTGTCCGCCATCACCGGCCTTCTTTTGATCCTATTACTACTTTGCACCCTTGGCCCCTGTATTATAAACCACCTAATAGCTTTCGTCCAGGCTAAGATCGATGCTGTCCAGATAATGGTTCTCTGCTCTCAGTACCATAGAAGGAGACTACCACAACGAGGACTCATGCTTGAGCCTCAAATGCACCTAGGAAAGGGGGGAATGCGAGGGCCGAGCTGATGCCATTTTAATGACGGCCACCGCTGCCATCTTAGGCCCAATGAGTCAGCATAACGTCCCCCGCCCATCCCAAAGATAGCACCACCCCATGGCACGAAACCTATGCCCAATCACGAGCTAATGCCTAACCTGTAATCTGCCCATGCCCCTAGCAACCAATCAAAATTGTACCCATACTTTACTCCTCCCCTTCTTGTTTTCAGTACCCTATAATAACTGATTACACCTCCGAGGTGGGGCTCTTCCTTGGTGTGCTCACCAGGAGAGTCCAGGCCCAGGCTTGAATAAAGCCTCATGATCTTTACATCGAAGTGTGTCTCGGACTAACTCTTGGGGGATCAGGAAAAATCCAGGCACAACAGTTACAACGCTGATGAGCACTGAATTTCTCTAATGTTGATAGTACAGTATCACAAAGCAAGCAATCATCTTCTCTTTAGCAGAAATAAGATAATATTGCAATTCCCAATCTTCATTAAAAGTCTGTTTCCTTCCTTCAGCATTCTCTTGGTCTTCTTTGACATGACGGGCCATTAAGCAGACAGAATTAAAAAATACTGTTAACCTGTGCAACTATTCACAAATTTCATTTCAAACAAAAACACCATGCACTATTGTCAAAAGTTGAGTAACAGACTGGCGTCCTGGACCCTCATAAACTCTTACTAACCTTCCTTACATGGTAGTGGTACCAGTCACGTGGGCAAAGTTAAAGCTAAACCCTAAGCATAGCAGCCATAAATTTGGCCCTTATGCCTTAGTAATAATGTTCTAATTGTGACAATTTGGGAGGATCATGTTGTTGTAACTTATTTTATTCTTGGTATTTTAAATATGTTCATTTTAAAAATAAAAATACAGAAGACAAATAAAAATATTAAGAAAAATAAAAGGATTTATTCTGTCAAATTTGGATGCAGTAAAAAGGCTGCCGTTAAGGACCTAGAAAACAACACGGGCCTTAAGACCAAAGATTCCTCACGAGTATACACACAGGTATCCCTGAGCCTCTTCTCTACCAGTGAAAGCACTCAGATTTCCCCTTATGCAATGGCCAATGCCAAAAAAGACACCATGACTTCCACCCCAGTTTGATCCTGAGCATGTATGTCTATGTTCAGTCAACAACATTTTTTACCACAGTGTGGCTGCTATTCCCTTCTGTTTCCTTAACTTAAAATGTACATACTCTTTGTCCGTCATGCTGGGACTGGTGCTCTGCACATTGTATTTCTCCATTGCTGGCTGTTTCCTAACTAGTTTAACAAGTCAAGCACTAGGGGGACACCAAAAGTGAAAAAAAAAAAAAGTAAAGATGATCATTAGTTAATGATAATAGGACTGATTCAACAAAAAGATACAACAATCATAAACATGTATGCACCTAACAAAGGAGCACCCAGATTCATAAGACAAATACTACTATGTTTAAGGAAACAAATAAACAGAAACACCATAATAGTTGGAGACTTCTAACAGATCTACACAGATCATTGAGAAATAAAATCAATAAAGAAATAGAACTTAATAGGAGGCTAGAATAAATAGACCTAGCAGACATTCATAGAACATTCTACCCCAAAACTTCTCATCAGCACTAAGGACATTTTCCAAGATAGATCATATGTTAGGCCACAAAAGAAGTCTCAGAAAATTTATAATAATCAAAACCATACCATGTACACTCAAAGACCACAAAGGAATAAAACTAGAAATCAATTACAAAACCAACTCTCAAAACATACAAAAAGAAATTAAACAAACTATGTCTGAAGGATCCTTGGGTCAGGGACAAAATCAAGAAAGAAATTTAAAAATTCAATGACTTGAATGACAAAGGTGACGCAAGCTTCTAAAATCTCTAGGACACAGGGAAAAGAGTGATAAGAAGAAACTTCATAGCTCTAAATGCCTATGCCAAAAAGACAGAAAGATCACAAATTAACAACCTAATATTGCACCTCAAGCATAGCCGAGCCACATTAAAGGCTGCCATAACTTTGTTCTTGATTGAAACTATCTCAAGTTCTGCAGGAAGGGACGTTCCTTTGAAGACCCCCTGAGAAATTAGAAAAACTAATCTAGGGGGAGGCAGGTGCTGAAAACAGAGCTTGCTGTGGTCAGAAATTTCCTGGAAGAGATGCAAATGTCAGAAAATCAAGATAAGATTATTGTGCTTCTAAGTTAAAGATTACCTCTGTCCTTTACAAATGAATACTTTGTTCTTTAAAGCAAAAGGAGATAAATAAGGCTCCTGACTTTCCCGTAACTTTATTGTATTGTAAATTTAAGATCTTGTGTGTACGAGCAGAATGCTATATTGTTAAGGTATATAAGTTAGCAAGAAATAAACTAGGGTCAAGGGACGCCTGAGTGAGCAACAGCCACCTCCTCTTCCAGACATTCTAACTGCTAGTGTCCCTCTGCAACATCAGCCCCATCAAATCACACAACACTCAAGGAACTAGAACAAGAACAAACCAAACCAAACCCAAGAAAAGAAATAAGAAAAATCAGAAATTCAGGCAGGGCCTGTGGCTCAAAGGAGTAGGGTGCCAGCCCCATATACTGAGGTGGCAGGTTCAAACCTGGCCTCAGCCAAAAACTGCAAAAAAAAAAAAAAAAAATCAGAAATTCAAAATGATAATAATAATAATACAATAGCAAAAAAGTTGATTCTATGAAAAAATAAACAAAATCAATAGAGGACTCCTAGATTAACCAGGAACAGGGGAAAAAAAGGATTCAAATACACTTATTCAGATATGAAAAAGAAGACATTACAACTAATACAACAAAATGCAAAAGATTATCTAAAATTACTATGAAATCTCCATGACTACAAACTAGAAAATCTAAAGGAAATGGCTAAATAATGGAAAAATACAAACTCCCAAGCTTAAGTGAGGTAAAAATAGAAATCATGAACAGACCAATAATGAATAGCAAGATTAAGTCATTAACAAAAAAATCTCTCAACAACAACAGCAACAAAAACAACAAATACCTAAGACCAGATGGATTCACAACTGAGTACTACTAGACCTAGAAAGAAGAACTGGCATCTATTCTAGGATGAAATCCTCCCTAACGCATTCTACAAAATCAGTATCACCCTGACACCAAAGCCAGGAAGGGATACAATAAAAAAAGAAAATTATAGAATAATATCTCACATGAACACAGAACCAAAAATCCTCAAAAAAAAAAAAAAAAAACTAGGAAACCAAATTTAATGGTGCAGTTAAAAGACAATTCACCATGATCAAGTGGGATGCATCCCAGGAATGCAAAGATGGTTCAACACATGCAAATAAATAAATGCCATTTACCACAAGAACAGCATTAAAATAAAGACCATCTGATTATTTTAATAGATGCAGAAAAGAAATTCGGCACCCATTTATGATATTAAAAATAACCCTTAACAAACCAGGTATATATAGAACATGTCTCAAAATAATAAAAGCCATACTGACAGCCAACATCATACTGAATGAGGAAAAGTAGATAGCATTCCCCATAGAACTAGAACAAGGTAAGGATGTTCACTGTCACCATTTCTGCTCACTATAGTACTAGACATCTTCACCAGGGCAATCAGATAAGAGAAAGAAATAAGAGGCATTCAAATTGGAAACTCTGTTTTCTAATGACATGATCACATACTAGAAAATCCTGAAGTCTCCTCCAAGACTCCTGGAATTGATAAATCAATGCAGTAAAGTCTCAGGTTACAAAATCAAAGTACACAAATCTATAGCACTGATACATGCCAATAACAACCACACTGAGAATCAAGTCAAGAACTACTGTCTGAGGCAAAGAAAATAAAATACCTAGGAATATACTTAACCAACTGGATGAAAAATCTCTACAAGGAGAATTATAAAACACTGATAAAAACAAATTATACATGACACAAACAGAAAAGTATCATAAGCTAATGGAGTGGCTATAGTCCCAGCTACTTGGGAAGCTGAGACAAGAGAATCACTTAAGCCCAAGAGTTTGAGGTTGATGTGAGCTGTGACACCACAGTACTCTAACGAGGGTGACATAGTGAGACTGTCTCAAAAAAAAGAAAAGAAAATGCAAAGAAATGCTGAACTTTACACTAATAAATTTGAAATTATATGTATATGCTTACACACAAAATAGACAAATTTTTTGGAAGACACAATTTACTAAAATTGACATAAAAATAAATTTAAAAACATTTACTATTTAAGTTCTACATCTAGGAAAGGGAATTAATCTATAATCAGCTGTCACAAAAGATTTCTACAGTTAATTTTTACAAATAAGTGCATTATGAAACTTTTGAGATATACAAAAGTCAAGAAACATAGAATCTCCATGGATGGAAACAAATGAAGTCCTTCCAGTAATACCGATAAGCCCACCAAGTTGAATCTTGCACAGGAGAATCAAAAAGAAAGCTATCAGGCCAGGCACAGTGGCATTTTGGGAGGCCGAGGCAGGTGGATCACTTGCACTCATGAGTTTGAGATCAGCCTAAGCAAGAGTGAGACCTTGTCTCTAAAAAAAGCTAGGCCTTGTGGCAGGTGCCTATAGTCCCAGCTACTTGGGAGGCTGAGGCAAAAGAATCACTTGAGCCCATGAGTTTGAGGTTGCTATGACTTATAACAACACAGCATGCTGCCAAGGGTGACAAAATGAGACTCTGTCTCAAAAAAAGAAAGAAGGAAAGAAGGAAGGGAGGGAGGGAGGGAAGGAAAGAAAGAGAAAGAGGAAGGGAGGGAGAGAGGGCTGGGCGTAGTGGCTCACAGCTGTAATCCTAGCACTCTGGGAGGCCGAGGCGGGTGGATTGCCTGAGCTCACAGGTTCAAAACCAGCCTGAGCCAAAGTGAAATGCCGTCTCTAAAAAAAGCCATATGTTGTAGCAGGCACCTGTAGTACCAGCTACTTGGGAGGCTGAGGCAAGAGAATCACTTGAGAGTTGGAGGTTTCTGTGAGCCATGATGCCATGGCATTCTACCGATGAAGACAAAGTGAGACTCTGTCTCAAAAAAAAAAAAAAAGAAAAGAAAAGAAAAGAAAAGAAAGAAAGAAAGGATGCTGTCAATTATGTTCCTTGGAAGTGAAATAATGAACCATAACAGTCTGTCTCAAAACCATTGTAGTGGCCTATGTATTCTTGAGATAACAGGATTCATCAGGAATCAGAGGTCTTACCTTTCTCAAACTTTACTGATAACCTCAAGGAAGCAATCACATGAAACAAAGAGTAAAGGGAGACATTGAGAACCACCAATGCTATACAACTTTCATAACACAAGGAGTGTTGCTATGGTTTAAATCAGGGGTCCTCAAACTTTTTAAACAGGGGGCCAGTTCACTGTCCCTCAGACCGCTGGAGGGCCGGACTGCGGGCCCCAGGATGAGTCAGCTGCTAAGCCGGACAGGCAGTGGAGGCAAAAACACCCGGCAGGCCAGATAAATGTCCTAGGCGGGCTGCATGTGGCCCGCAGGCCGTAGTTTGAGGATATCTGGTTTAAATATTCCCTCCGAAATGCATGTTGAAATTTAATTGCTAGTATTGAGAAGTGGCATCTTTAAGAGGTGATTAACCCTTGAGGGCTCTGCTCAAATGATGGAATTAATGCCATTGTCACTAAAGTGTGTTCATTATTGTGGGACTGAGCTCCTGATAACAGGAAGTTTCAGCTCTCGTCCTCTCAGTCTCACATGCACTTCATTGCCATGTAATGTCCTCCAACAAATTACGACACAGCAAGAATGCCCTGAACATCTTGGCCTTTCTGGCCTCCACAACTGTGAAAAATAAATTTTTTTCTTTATGTATTACCCACACTATGGTATTCTGTTATAGTAGCAGAAAACAGAATAACACATGCATGAATGAGTACCTCGCCATTGTAGCCCACTGAGAAAAAACATCTAACATTTGTTCCTCAATGCACATTCCTCTTGACTAAGGCTTAATATTAAGGCCTGCAACAAACTTCAATTTCTCTGTCTACAAACTGGCTTCATCTCGCATAAACTTCCCTTCCAGATGTTCATCCATAATGGGCATCTTGCATTCTAAATTCCAAATCAGTGTCTGCTTCTAGAGAATTCAACTTACCTTAACAAAAACAGTTAAGCACAGAAAGCACTTAACATCCCTAGAGCCAAAGGAAAGAAGGAAAGAGGTTAGGTTTATTAGAGTGGAGATGATTAAATGAAGTCTCCTGTAGAGTAAGGCCCAGACATCTAAAGAGGGCACAGCTGCTACTGCTGCTTCAGTAACTCAGAGGAACATGACCCTGCTAATCCCAGAGTTGCAACTCAGACCCCAGAGGACGGCAGTGACCGACTGCTGCTTCTAAGGAAAAATGAAGGCTGTTCTAATAGTGTGAACAAAACTGGAATCCCAAACCACATATGGCAACCAGAGTGAATGGCCCCCACCATTCTACTCTAAGCTAATACTAATGCCTCCTTTCCTGCCAAAACAGAATTGGAGTGATGGGGCATGGGGTTTGTAGAGGCACATCCTGAACACATTACATTACAGTTTAAGAAAAAAAAAAAAAAGAGGTGTAGAACTGAGAGACAAAATCTTTTCTGTGCCTTTGCTCAGGAAACGTAAAGAGACTTCTGGGAAAAATGAACCTTTAATATTGCTTCAAATGCTGAAGAGCAAGTGTACACATGTAAGAATCCTCTGCTGTGAGACGTAATGTTTTCAATCTTGACAATAAGGATCTTTGAATTTTTGTTTAAACAGTCAGATATCTCTCATATTTCTATTATTAAAAGAAAAATTAGGGATTTTTAAATGAAGTGTGAGCCTTGGCCTTTCTCTTCCCTTCTCTCCTCTTCTTTTGTCTCTTCCTTTCTCTCTTTTTCCTTTATCTCCTCTCCCTTTCTCTTCTCTTTTGTCTCTTCTTTCTTTCTATCCTTTTCTTCCTTACCTTTATTCTTTGTTTCCTTATGAAGTATAAAAAACAAACCTAAAATTAAAACAATAAAAGGAAGAAGCCAAAATAATATGATGTAACCCACATTGCCAGACACACCTACTCTTTCTCTGCTGTTCTTAGGGGGTGGGCCACTATCAATACTACCTCCAAATCCTTTGTCTGTACAGAAGGGAGGTGCCCATCCACGGATGCAGTGACAGTGTTGTTTATTATTGCAGATCCCTCTCTTGTTACAGGTTGTAGGCTGACAGGTTTGTGACACACGAACCATATTGGCACACTTTCTTTCGATACAGATCTTTTCTGGACCACACACAGTGCCATCTTTCACTTGGCCAATATCAGGGACAGTCATCCCTAAATGATAATCAGTGCCCCAGCAAGCAGTATTATTGAACCGAAATTGATACACTGTAGAATGGTCTATCATTTTTGGAATTTCTACTACATTTGCACACTGAATTCTCCCACACATGATATCAGCAGTCAAACACTGTTTGTATCCTGCACCTACAATCCCACAGTGACCAAAACGATTTCCTTGGGTGTTGATTTCTTTGTAGCAATTCTGAGATGCACTCAACGCATCTTGGCCAAAAATCTCTTTACACTGCTTATCATGGTTACTGCATGTCTTTTTATAGCAGTAGGTATCAGTGCTGCAGGGAAACCCATCCTGCACATACACATCATCTGGACATTGGTGGGATGTCCCATTGCACCACTCTGGAAGGTCACAGTCACTGATCTGTTGTCTACATAAAGTCCCTGATGGCCTGAATTTGCAGTCTTTGCAACAGATTCCAAAAGCACAGGCAGCTCCAGGACTCAGAGTGCAGTTTAACTGACAACAGGGATCATTCATACACTGATGCGGGCTTCCACAATCACAGTCCTCTCCTTCTTCAACCACTAGGTTTCCACAGAGCTTCCCCCTGAAGATATTCTGTGCATTTGGAGGAGATTGAATACATGTTCCAAAACTCAAACTATTATTATAATAATCTAAATAACTGCAGTTGCTGAATTTAGTTGTTTCTCTTCTGAAGGCATACATTATGCAAAATTCTACCCCACAGACACACCATACAGTGTCATGTACCATACCCAAATTATGACCAAGTTCGTGGGACACAGTAATTGAAAAAAGGACCAAGCTGTTGTCTTCAAAAACTTCAACTCCACAATTAAATGGACTCTGGCATATTGCATTAACATAGGCAACACCAAGCTTTACATTAAACATTTCTTTTACAAATAGATGTACAGAATCATGATGCACTCGGGCATCAAAGTTAAAAGATTTCCAAAGAGTAAACAAGTCCAAAACCTGATCTAAGTCCCCACGGGTAGAAAATGGATCCTTTTCAGTCCATATCTCAATCCCAGTCAAAACTATGTCAATGTCAAGTGGACGATAGATGGAATTCACAATATTGACAACATTAAATATTTGGCGCTGAACTATTGACACATTACTTTGAGTGAAAAGGTATCTCGTATGATCTACAACTGCTGCAAACTCAAGAAACCGCCGGTGTGTCCACCAACCAAAATAAGAGTGCTTCAGAGTGAAATTATACGACAACTCCAACTGACGTGCTACTTCCTCGTCTGTTAAACCACATCTCACAGGTGGATACTGTGTGTCTTCATGGTCTATCTTATACACCAAGTGTTCAAATGTGGCAGAAACCCTAATTGGCTCAATTTCATAAGCAAGGTCATTTATCTGCAGCATTCCTCGAAAGCCCCCAAAACAGGTACTGAGGGCAACCAGGGACGCAGGGAACCCCTCCACATAACCATCATAGTAGCAGTCATCAGGCATGAAGGGCTGATCCTGGAGGAGGGCACGCTGCTCCGTGTAGGTAAACACAGGGAGGTGTGTGGAAACCAACAGCTTCTTGATCCTCATGTGGACAATGTGTCTCTGACCCCCAAATCGCAGGCTATAGGACAGCCATCCGGGAGCCTTTGTACCTCTGCCCCTGCTGATCACCTTCATGGGGACCACCACTTCTAGGGAGGTGAAATGCTGGGAGGGCCTGGCCTGAGAATGGCCACAAGTGGACAAGGACACCTCCAGCCAGAGCAGAAGCAGAACAACCCTGAGGTGCAGCAGGGTGTCACCCACTGCCATTATGGAGCTGTCACCAAGGAGCCATCTGTCCAGAGCACAGAGGACAAGGTGCAATGAAGAATGGCTAGGCTGTCTCCTCCTTCTGAGCTGCTGCTCAGGGTGCAGGGCTGACCTTTACAGATCTGTGTCACGGCAGAATTGGTGCATCAGAGCTGCCATGCTGCAAATAAAAAGTGAAAATAAGAAAAGCTAGGATGGAATGAACAGGGTAGGAAGGGTAGGAGAAAGAGAGAAGAAAGTAAGCAAACTGATGCTTGATCAGGACCAATTTGAAGGAATAAAATGCATGGAATTCTCTTAATATATAAGCAGAAGGAAAGTACCAATGGATGAAGAAGATGGGATCAAGGTGGATTATTGCCAGAACTTGATAGTAGAGACAAATAAGGATTCACTATATACTATTCTTTAAACAGGTAAAATTATTAAAAAAAAAAAAAATTCCATTTTAAAAAGCAAGAGCATACGACCCAAATTTCTCCTTCAAAAACCTACTGGTATCTTGCACCTTCAGGGAGCCTGTGCACAACCCATCCAAATTCTACTTTTTGTCCTTTTATCCACACAGCACAGTGTGTTCCATTTCCTCTGTTCTATCCACAGATACCTTATCTAAACCCTATCCAGTTCTAAACTAGCCATCAAAAAAGCTGTACTTAAGAGGCTTATAATTATCGAGAGACCTCCTCCAATCAAGGCTCTTTTTATTTTACAGACATTCAAAGGGAGGAAGACATACTGATGAGATAACAGGGAGTGGGGCATCTGTTTGGGGGCAGGGCACACAGCCAAACTGTCCCCAGTCACAGCATGGCGGCAGCGGCCATCTCTCCTCATAGCCCATCTGTATCATGTTTTCAATCATTACAGGCTCATCTTGGTCAGGTCAATATATATTTGAATCTACGAATAGCTTTCAATTGGCTGGTGAGTTACTTCAATCTATCAATTTCAATTTCCAAAGAAAGCTGAGCTGAGGAGCTTACACCTAGAGTCAGAGTCAATTCTGACTTAAATTCTCAATTAAAATGTTTGGATGTCCACAATTTAGGTGAACTTTAAAACCACATTACTGTTGAAAACACGTATTTTGGCTCAGGTAAAAGCTAATTTTGGTCATTCACTTAAAATCGTCATTAAGAATCTGCTAAATATTTGAAATCTAAAGTTAGAACAAATTTGGACATACATCATTCACCCACAGTGGTGCCTTAAATATTCTAAATAAGGGCACAAATGGGAACCACAGTATAGAGCATAAGCAATATTCTTGGCATTATGAGGTCAAGAGAAATGGTACCCACCTGTGTGAGATTCCAGAACTAATGGGTGGCTACCAGGTGCCAACAAAGGAAACCAAGATCACTAGCTGAAACCTCTCAGGGAATGTATCTCTGATGGAGGTGAAATCCCAGTTGCCAGGTTTCCTCTCATGTCTTTCTTCATAATACCTTTGGTATTTGTCATAGATTTGGGGGTGTTAAGATAGCAATATATAAATTGGAATAAGATTATGAAATAAAAAGTCTTTGGAGAGGGTAATAACCTATATTAAGCATGGTCATAAATATGATGAGGCTATAATACAAACATTTATTCCAAAAAATCTTTGTGACATGCCAGTCTTTGTCACCATTGCATTACTACAAAGCCAAGTCCTGTAGGAACACTGTATTCCCATACATTTCATGAACTGGTATGGTCCAAAGGCCTTCTAACATTACTGGGGCTTCAACCATTGTGAGAATCCCCCTCTGCATCAGTCGTTAACTCTTTCTTCTATTTCCAGTAGCAATTTAAAATTTCCTCAAAACCCTATCATATCATCTTTCTACTCCTTCAGTCTAGACCTACTTCAGCATTTGTCAAGTTTGTGTCACAAACCACAGTGAATCATGATATCAATTTAGTGCACCCTAAGTAAATGAAACACAAGAGAGAGGAAAATATCAAAGGGCTTCACATGAATCCCTATCTGTTATTGTTAACTATCACCAAGAATCCAACAAAAGCATAATGCTAACAGTTCTTTTTATTATTTTTTTATTAAATCAGAACTGTGTACATTAATGCATTTAAGGGGTACAATGTGCTAAATTTTATATACAATTTGGAGTGCTTACATTGAACTGGTATTAATATAGCTTTCACCTCACTTAACTGTTGTGTTAAGACATTTATACTCATAATAGATTTGACATGTACCCTTGCAATATGCACCATAAGTGAGGTCCTACCGATTACGCTCCCTCCACCCGGCCTCCCCGCTCACCTAACCCTCCTCCTCCCTCCTTCATTCTGGGCTATAGTTGTGTTTTATCATTTGTATGAAGGTGTGGGTGATGATATATTGGTTTCATAATAGTACTGAGTACACTGGATACTTTTTCTTCCATTCTCAAGATATTTTACAAAGAAGAATATGTTCCAGCTCCATCCATGTAAACATAAAAGAGGTAAAGTCTCCATTTTTTTATAACTGCATGATATTCCATGGTACACATATACTACAGTTTGTTAATCCATTAGTGGATCAATGGGCACTTGAGCTTCTTTCTATGACTTGGCAATTATGAATTGGGCTGAATGCTAACAGTTCTTACACCAACTATCTCAACTATTTAATGAACTTTAAACCTAAAATTTCTATTTTGTCTGTGAAACTGGATATAGCATTCTGTATATTTCTATATAAGTAAGTCTACTAAAGATTTTACCAAGTCAGGTACTAGATGGACAGGCAAAAGGAGGGCACAAGGGACTTGTTACTTCCTATTTGCATGTTGTTACTCTCTTCATACCCCCAGCAGTGGTTCCTTGCTTTAGGAGCGACATTTAGTTGATAGTACATTCCTAGAGGCAGCTCCATTAAGCCCCATGGAAAGAAAATATGAGACCCAGCAGGACAATGCTCCCTCCCCAAAAATCAGAGAATTAAGACACCCAAGGACATCTTCCAGTCCTCTGGGCAACCAACGTGAGCCTGACAGTGTTTCTCTTTGAGATGATGCACTGCCAGCTCTATCAGGCCATACCACAAAGAGGTTTAATGCCAGTCCCAAGTGAGCAATATTCTCCTGAGACCTGAATCATAGCTTTTGGAGGACCTCTTTCCAAGTCCCTAATGTACCAGCACTACCTCTTGCATCACTCCCTAAGAGGTCCAGCTATGAGTTCCATAATACTCCTTTCCTGACTAAATTACCAGCACCATCGAAGCCAGTGATTTTCAACTGGTGTGCCATAAAACATTTTAAAGATAATTATTTTTGAAAAGCACAGGAAGTATATTCTTTTTTTTTAACTTTTTAAAATCAATATAATGTAAGTGTGCCATGGAAATTTAACTACAAGTTCAAGTGTGCCATGAGATAAAAAAGGTTGAAAAACACTGATCTAAGCAATGCCCTGTCCTCTACAGTCCAGGGCCAGACCTGTGAGGCCCATTATAAAAGAATCTAGGTTTTGGTGATTCCCCCCCACCCAACCTCTAACCTCTTCCCTTCGCTTCCCCTCTCTTAGGGATGTAGCTCCTTCTGGGAATCCTACCTCTATGTATCTCAGGGTTTCCCCTTTAAATCCTCTTGGACCTTTAATACCTTTTCAGAGTTTTCCTATCTTAGTTTTCCTTGGTGGGTTTCTCCTTCCTGGACAGGATCTTGACAGATACAGGACTTGGTACCAGCAGTAACATCAAGAGAGAAAGACAATGAGAATCTGGGACTGGTTTGGACATGTCCACGGCTTTAAACACACTGCTAAGCTCCCATCCAATTGGGGATGGACATGCACTGGCATCACAATTATCTCAATTACCACTCAGTGTTGATTGTGAGGAAGTGGCCTATGCAAGTATGTAAAGGGACAAAGTGACCATGTGATGATGACTATGAGTACCTCAAGGACTGAGGAGTGGGAGAGCAATTGGACAATTTATGCAATTAAGCTTATGACCTAAACTCTCAAAATTATCCAGAAGTGAAAGAGCAATAACTACTATCATGAAAGCACACAATTTTTTTTAAATTGGTAGAACAAAGTCCCCCAAACAAGTAAGAGGAACTTGTGGTTTTACCACAAGGAGTTTTACCTCCTAACCACAACGATAAATAATAACAGAGAAAGGAACAGAAGATATTAAAAACAAATAGAAATCAACTAATATGATAACAAGAATAAGCTCTCACATATTAATAATAACTCTGAATGTCATCAGGTTAAAGGTTGTACATAAAAAAACTACAGGCTAGCTGAATAAGATTTTTCAAAATGAACCAACAATATGCTGCCTAAGACAAGAGACTCTTGTCTGTAAAGACACTCACAGACTAAAAACAAAGGTATGTAAAAAATATCCTTTGCAAAAAGAAACCAAAATAAAGCAGGAGTAGGTATACTAAGATAAAACAGATATAAGTTAAAAACAGTAAAAAAGGCAAAGTATAGGATGGACATAAAGTTTGTATGCAATTTAAAGTAGTTTACTATAATGATATTGTATACAACGTAATGATAAATGAATCAATTCATCAATAAAATATAACAATTCTAAACATATATGGACCAGACACCAGAGCACCTAAATATATTTAAAAAAAAACTATCAGATCTTAAGGGAGAGATAGACTCCAATATAACGATAGTTGAGAATTTTAACACCCCGCTTTAAACATTATACAAATCATCTACACAGAAAAGTAACAAAAAGAAAAGACGTTTGTATTTAAACTGCACATTAGACCAGTTGAACTTAATTCATTTAGAGAACATTTTATTCAATAGCTTTTGAATATGCATATTCTCATCAGAACATGAAACATTCATTGGAATAGAACATATCAGGATGCAAAACAATTCTCAATAAATTTTAAAAATTCATATTAAGTATCTTGTCAGACCACTTGAAATAAAATTGGAAATTGGTAACAACAGGATTGTTGCATGAATGTCACGTGTAGAGGCGTGTGATGCAGCGCAGCAGAGATAAGACCTGCAGAGAAATGTTGTAGAATGAGGGACTGGAGCTCTCTCTGGCAATCCAGCAAAGTTCTTTCTTCTACCAAAGCTTATATAGACCATACTGCACATACACATGATTAATCAATAAACAAGAGACTTT